CACATAGAATTAAGGCAGTTCTGAAGGCGAAAGGGGGTCAAACACCGTATTAGTATGGTGTTCCTAATAATCCTTTAGGTGAGTGTATGTCAGATGGTCGCTCCCTGATTATAATCTGAATAGATAATAAACTGGTGACTTGCAACTACTCCTCGACTGTGCTGTGAATCTCTTCTCATCAACGGACCCGGCAGAGTTCGACTCCAACACATGAATGCTGCCATCATTTACGTTTACGTAGGTACACTTACTTTGGCTAAGCCGATCAAAGAAGTAAGAATTAGCTTACTGCTAATTCAATCTTTTGAAAGCAAACAAATTATTTAATTATGTTTTTTGATTTTCAAGCGGCATTGTTCGGTGTTTCGCGTGTGCCCCATTTCTTCCAAGCGGCTTGGTATTACGGTGTTCCGGGCAATTCAGTTTCCCTATGTTTCTCCTGTCTATCAGGAAATAATATTTCCCATAATATTAAAGCAGAGGTATATGTGAAATTTCTGAAAATCACCCAGGTACATTATTACATATGAATATGATACATTGTGACGCATAATATAGTCTTATAAGCAATACAATACCGTTTTCATCAAGAAATATCTCTATCCAGCGAATTAAATAATTTAATTTATTAAAACAAAAAACATGGAAAAGGCATGTGATGTTTTAAAATACATGGCTTGGTTACCTCAAGAGCTTCGTAAAAAGACATGAAAACAACAGTGAAACCGTGTACAAATCAGTGCGTCACAGGGGAAACATAGGGAATCTGAATTGCCCGTAACGGCAAAAACTTTATTTCGAATCGTGCCGTCCAAATTCCGCTGGATCTGTTCATCCGACCATATGGCAATTAAAGCCTGTGTTTCCTTGTTTGTCCATCCTTCTGTTTTTACTTTTATATTTTTGTTTCTACTGCTTTTTATTTCGTTTCTCGCTGTTCGCTGTGTGTATTTTGTGTTTCAGCGGCAGCAAAATTTGCATAACCAATCGACAGCAAATACGTTTGTAAGTCCCACCCCAAAGTACCGAAGTACCAAAGTAGTACCCCAGCTGGTTTGGCACTTTCGGTACTCGAGCTTTCGGTACTGGTACTCGACTGGAAGTCAATGGAAAAGCGAAAGTACCGTACTTTGTGTGGTGGAAAAGCACCCTAAGAAACAGCTGATGACATGGGGATTCTACACGAGGTAGCGAGAGGGGCGTGGCACACAGGAGGATCGGCAGGAGCAGGGCATGACACATACTTACTTATGCATGTAGATTTGAGTATGCTTAAAATGATGTTGAATAACGACTTACAAACATTAAAAGTTACAAATGTCCGGCTTGCTGCTCCGTCCTGGGTGCGGTTGGCCTCCTGGGCATGGTTGCTGGCCCCTGTCCTTGGGGTGGTGGCCTGGGGGGGGTTGGGCCTCTCCGGCGTGGACGGGGCTCTCTACCAGGGTCCTAGCGGCCCTGGCCTTGGCTCGTACGGGAGCGGCCAACCCCGCTGCCTGTTGCCTCTAGTTCTCTGGGGCTCATGCCCTTTTGGCTGCATCTGGGACCTCCCTTGTCCCCCAGCGGTAGTGGGGGCGCGGCTCTTCCATGCTCTTCAGGGCCTGCGGACACCCTGGACCTCCTGGGCTTGTCTCTGCTGACTTCTGGTTCTTGTGGCGTGTGGTTGCTGCCTCCTACCTTCACTATTTAGTACATTCCATGTTGAAAACACAGGCACACAAGCCCGCACATCTCGCCTACACAATTGAGCATGCATATACATACACTTGCACGCACCCCTCCAAGCACACACAACACTTTTGTATGTTTGTGTAGCTGTGTTACTTTATTCTTTATTTTTGTTTGTGTTCATGAATTTATCCATTTTTGCACTTCTTTCAGATGCTATTGATCTTTTGCCTTTTTTTCTTTCCTCTCCTTTACAGATGCAACAATTGGAGATTGTGTTTTCTACTTTACTCATATCATTCTTGACTTATGTTTCTCACTTACTACTTCTTTTTAATATATATATTTATTTTGCTCTTTTCTTTTATTTCTGTTTCTTCCCCCTCCTAATCTGTCCCTCCTGTTCGGCCAGCTCAGCCACGGCAATATTTTACATGTGCTAAAAATGAAATAAATAAATAAAATAAAGAAATCTATTAACATGAGGGCCTATACAGAGTTTATAGAGCCCCTCATGGTAAAGCAAACATGTTTGGCACAGCAGTGAATTCAGACCATGATTTTGCTTGCTAAAGCTGCCGGACAGGACAAAAGTAAAAACAATAATAATAATGCTGCCGTCCATCAAATCCATCAATTCATGAATCTTTAATAACTACTTATCTAAAGCAACAAACAAGCATTGGGATTTTTAATTACTCCCCCAAGGATCATCTATTCACAGAGGTTTATCAGAGTGGATCATTCAGTTACCAGGGGAAATAACACTGCATGTATATATAGATGGGTGTTTGTAATACAGGAAATGACAGCACTTAAGTGTTCATCCCTGGAACTAAGGTAAGGGGATTTTGCAAACTGTAGAATGAGCATCTGGATTTTTATGTTGTCCCTTCTGTTTCAGCTAATAAACAGAATGGTTACAAAATGGTTACTGCCTCAGAAGGATTGTTAGACCTGAGCTAACAAAACACTCAGCAGTGACTTTGATATTTGATATTACCAAACTTTTTTTTAAATGATTTTTTGCATGCTTGAACATGAAATGGAATAAATTAAATAATAGACTGAATTTAAAAACTGAGAAATGGAAAATTTGCATATAAAATAGTAATATTACAGATGTGTTTGTCTTTGCATGCAACTTGGGTTATATTAATTTAAACCAAGCCTACAGAGCATTTGTTCATTCACTCAAGTTTAATTTCATCCTCTTTGTGATTTCTATCATTTTTGCAGATTCACTTTATTTTAATTATGACCAAGCTGTTCTTCAAATTAACCAGCTACCCGGGACCGTAAGTAAAGGTGGTGTTGTAGGGTAATTATTAATAATGAACAATAAATAATTAGCAATGAAAATCCAATTAATAAAATATAGCAGACTTTTTGTTTGCACTGATTAAATAGGCTGAAATAATAAACCTAATATGTTTATAATTATCTCTGGAATGGTCATCTGATTTTCATAAAAAGACACTGACACATTTGCTAATTTGGATTTTACAGAGGCACCTTAAACTTTGACAATGTTATAGTGTGATCAAGATAAAATACTCTAAATCGTATTTTTAAATTGTTTTGAAATTTGTAATGCAGTGTACAAAAGCTTTACAGCTTTAAAAACTTTAAACTTTAAAAAGTTTACAGCAAATTACTCTGTTTTCCAGATAACCATCTCCTAAAGAACTCCAGTTCAACATGTTGGTTGGAAACCAAACCTCTATAAATTACTTTTTTTTAATGGGATTCCCTGGACTTGACCCCAGTTATTATGGCCTTGTCTCTGCAGTCTTATTCTTGGTATATATATCTACCTTATTTGGAAATGCGATATTCCTTCTTCTGTTTATAACAGACCAGAATCTTCAAAAACCAATGTACTTCATCATATTGAACTTGGTTGTGTCTGATGTGTTGTTCAGCACCACCACCTTACCGAAGATCATTGCCAGGTACTGGTTCCAGGCAGGGACCATTTCATTCACTGCTTGCTTTGTACAGATGTATTTTGTTCATTATTTTGGAGCCGTAAACACCTTTGTATTACTAATGATGGCCATCGACAGATATGTGGCAATTTGTCACCCTCTTAGATACTCTACGATAATTACAAACTCAACTATTTTTACGCTCAGCATCATTTCTTGGGTGATTGCCATTGGCGGCCCACTGATGAATGCAATTAGGGCATTTCCTCTGCCTTACTGTGCAGATAATGTTATTGTTCAGTGTTACTGTGATTATATTTCAATAATTTCATTGGCCTGTACTGACAGGACCCCTTACATTTCCCCCTCATTATTTTTTTCATTGGTTATGTTACTCATGCCTCTTACTTTTATCATGCTGTCTTACCTCTGTATAGTTGTGGTGGTCCTTCAAATCACCAGCACCCAAGGTCGCCTCAAAACCCTCTCCACCTGCAGCACTCAGCTCATCATAATCACCCTCTACTACGTTCCACGGTGTTTTGTGTACCTGGCCAGCAATGTGGGTTTGGTGTTCAGCACAGATCTACGCATCACCATTATCATGTTCTACAGCCTCCTGCCTCCCATGGTCAATCCGCTCATATACAGCCTAAGGGCTAAAGAGGTGAAGGACAGTTTAATCAAATGGTTAAAGAAACAGCGTGTTGACATACAGAAAGCCAACATATCTGTTATTTCTAAATAATTCAATATTTTCTAATAAATTGGGTAATAAAGAAGTTGTGTATATGTCTTGTCTATCTATAGCAAAGACAACCTTTTTACTGTTTTATACAGAAAATTTCCCAGCTTTGTTTAAATTGCAAACACCATAAATCTGAAGTTCAGAGCAGATTTCCGTATCGTGATGACCATGCTATACAGCCTTTTCCTCTTATGATGAATGATCTAATAAACTGCATCAGAACCCAAGCAATCAAGGATATTTTGGTCAGGTTGGGACTGCAGCTGGCGATAATTAAGCTACAATGTGTAATAATGTACGGTATAGTGGTATGTATATGGGAAAATTAGTATTTTTGTTATTTGATATCTTATTAACTATTTACTCCCCATCAGTTTATTTAGTAAGCTTTGTATATACTTCTGAACAAGTGCGATGCCCAGGTCTAGTTGATCACTTGTTGCCATGGTAATGGTTCCCAAGCCCTGAGCAGAAAAGCAGCCCAACCAGTGAAACCCAACATGCCTGTGTTAGCTCAAATAGCCAATAGGGTTTCAGGGTCAGCGGTTGGAATAAACAGGAGGGAGGAGAAGCTGCTGGTTGCCTTGAAAAATGGCTCAAGCACGGCACCACAGAAAACCTGGACTCAGAATTTGGCACCGTAACATCAGCGAAAGTGGAAGGGAAATCACATCCAAAACAATTCGTGGAAAATTCAATCCATAACCAATATAGTTTAGTCTACTAATGTGGGTGCTGTCAGTGAAACAACTTGCCAGCTTATTAGCAGAATAAGGTTACATTGTTTTTTTATTCTGTGAAAAACTAAAGATGTGCTGGTCAGATTTAATAATGAAGTATAAATATATCACAGGTCAAATAAAATATTGTGGCATTTGAGTGTATAAGAGATCATGAGGTGGACAGCAAAGTTCAGTTTTTAGCATTACTGCGCAATCCTTAAAAGGACAGCAGTAATACAGCGAGCAAGAATAAACTGACAAACATAGACGGGGGAGCCTTTACGGAGACAGAATGTCATAAAATAGCTTAAAACGGTATGGACAGTATTTGCTGAAAATAAGATATTTTACGTGAAATATTGTCTTGCACCAAAACACTTGTATAATTCACATAAATGGTGCAAAATAAATCCAAAAAACAAAATACAGATTAACCTTCACTTTGCTTTCACTTCCGCCCACTTAACATTTCTGTTCTGTCTTTTTTGAAACTGGTGGAGATGCATTGCTTGTTCTCAACCATGCAGCCCAGAACGAGCTCAGGACGGGCACCAGCACCAAGAACAAGTTATTCTTGGAATTCATTCTTAGCTCTTACAAAATTCCTGCCCTGGTCACAGTGGAGTTGGCACACAGTGCCCCTTAGGCTGATAAATGAGTCTGTAGATAGATCTTCTAACATTTCAACATAAACAGCTCGAGAATATACACAGGTAAATATCATGCCATATGGCTTATGTTCCTTGCGACTCCTTTTGATCATAAATGGCCTAAAGCTGTCCATTCCGAATTTTGTGAACGGAGCAGATGCCTCAACACACTCTTTAGAGAGCTCAGCCATATGTTGTTCCTCCACTGGATGCCTCATTTTTCTACATCACACTTGTGTATCACTTTGGCAACCAACTTGCTACAACCAATAATCCAAAATCCATTTGAGTATGGAGTTAAATTAGTGTCAAAACTCGCGTGCATAAAAACCATGCATATGCGCTTGCGAGCAGAAAACCCATGCTCTCTACGTACTTGCTTTTGCACAGCACTCGCTAGCTCGCTCGGCGTTAAATTAGTGCCAAAAGTCGAACCACGAGCACATGTGCGCTCGCGAGCTGAAAACACATCCTCTCTCCGCGCTCACGTTCGCTGGACCCTATCTACGCATTCGCATCTGCACAGCACTCACTCGCTCGACAGGATGAATTTTGACACTTTGGAGGCGGGAACAGTGGCTAATATCTCCGCTCCTTTGATTGGTTTTTTTAAATATTGACTACGATTGGCTGTTTGCTTTGGTAGAAGATGAAGATAACTTGTCCCTAACTGCGGTTAAGTTGGCCTCATATTCGATATTCAGTTTTATGGCTTTAATAACTTTTAACGGAAGGTGGGGCGTTTTTAATGACAGGATCGTGATGTCCAGTACATAGACAATGATGCACACCGATTATTTTTGCGCTTCAAACCATTTCGTGATTTGTGCAAAATCACGAAAGGACCAGGACGTCCTATGTTTTTTGGTGTACTGATCACCATTTGTATAACCACACAAATACCTTAAAGTATGATTTTTGCAGAAAAATCATGGTTGTGGTTACCATGGCAATAGCCATGTTTTTTTCGCTCAGATACTCCAAGCAGGCGCGCAAGCTGGACACATGAGTAACCACACACAACGTAGTACTTAATCATCTCTAGTGGTATGTCTATCAAAGGAAGTCCTGGTCCTTTAGTTGTTCTGTCCCTTACAAAAAGCCTGTCAGCCACTTCACTCAGATTGGCGAAGACAACATTACTGATGTTGTTCTTCAGGGCGACAAACTCATTTAACCTGTCCAAAACTAAATGACTTCTGAGCAACAGAAAGAACTATCGTCAACTTGCTGCGCTAGCATCATAAGTTCCTCCACAATTTCACCGATCACCTCCATTGCTCAAATTTCCCCCTCTTGGTCGTCGACTGCGAGTGACATCACTCCCCATACAATCACGCTCCACAGTATAGTCCCACCCCTGACGCTGATTTATAGGTTTCTGTGTAATGCGTCGGAAATTCAAATGCAAAATGAATTGCGATTGCGTTTGAGTTTTGACAGGATACATACGCGACGCAGAGAAAGTGAAAAAACAGAGGTGGTAATTGATTTTGCTATTTAAATATGACAGGGTCATAACTTGTAAGACATGGAAAATGCAACTGCAAATGGACTTTGCTTTTTCATTTGAAATTTGGCAGTCGCGAAAGCAAAAAAGCAAATGGTAATGCAAAATTTGCAATTGCATTTGAATTATTTCACACTTTATGCGTCCACATATGGAAAACGCAATTGCAAATGAGAAATTTCCTTTTGAAAAATGTCCGGGATTTCCCTCCATACAAGTGAGTGCTGTGCAGACGCGAGCGCGTAGATAGGGTCCAGCGAGCGCGTAGAGAGGATGTGTTTTCTGCTCGCGTGCGTGGTTCTACTTTTGGCCCTAATTTAACGCCGAGCGAGCCAGCAAATGCTGTGCAAACGCGAGCGCGTAGAGAAACATGATTGCACTAATTTAATGCCATATTTGAGTCTGGGTTCTGCCTTGATGACATACTTGAGAGTGATAGTAAAGTGAAATTACAGTAGCTGGGTAATATGATTATCTTTGGGCAAAATTAGCAGGTGTTTGAATTCTTGATGGTGCCCTCTCCCTCCTCCTGTGTCCTTTCCTCTGTGGCCAGCGGGCACTGCTGGTCATCCTGCCTTTCCCCTCTCTGTCCTTCACCCTTGTGTGTTCGTCAACCTCAATTCTGCCTGCACCATGCCCTGAGTTAGTAACAGAAAGACAAATATTTCAGCCTTCCACCAATATATAGAGTAGCCCATTCTCCAAAATTGGGTCAAACATTGAAGACTTTCATCTCTTTTGAGTGCCTTTATCTCTTCTTTGAATGTCTGTTGCTAGAAAAGTTTTATTACTGCTTCTGCAGCTCCCTTGTTCTTTTACAATCACAATATCAGTATAACACTTTTGCTCCAACCCCAGTCTCCTAATTCTTGCTGCAACCTTAATAAGCATCATCCATGATGAAAACCTTGATGGATATGGTTGCAAATGCCTTAACAACTTTAACCTCTGGGTCCCCAACTAGCAAATCAGTGGATGGATTAAGTGCTGGGTGTGCTTCTTGCTTCCATAAAATTTTATGACTCATTATCCAGTTTGTTAAATGGATATCTGATACACAAACCCCCCTAGAGGTGTGATCTGCTGGGTTTTCAGTAGTAGCACATAATGCCTCCGACTGGACTTGGTGTTTTCTCTAATCTTCTGGATATGACTGGCTACGAATACATAAAACCTTTGGGCTTCATTATTAATGTAGGCTAGAATTAGAATGACCTGTGAATCTGTACAGAATAATTCCTCATCAGTCTTCATGCTGAGTTCAGTTTTCAGCAGAACACTCAGCCTAGCAGTGATCACAGTGGCTGAAAGTTCCAAACAAGGAATGCTTATAATCTGTAATGGAGAAACCCAAGCCTTGGCCATAACAAAACAACAGCGGACTTTGTTCTTATCATTTTCATACCTACAGTAGGAAAATGCACCATATCCTACACTGCTAGCTTCTAAGAAGTAGTATAGTTCTATTCTGACAATTTCGCCAAAGCCTTGTGGGTGATAACATCTTAGAATAGAGAGCCCTCTCAGCTGTATGAGATTGAACTTCCATTCCTCCCACCATGGGCTTAAGTCCTGAGGAAGTAGATCATCCCATTCTATATTTCTGCAATATAGCTCCTGTAGAACACACATCCTCTTCAGGATGAATGGAGCCACAAACCCAAGTGGATTATACAAGGAAGCTATGACTGACAGAATACCATGTCTTTCATCTGGCTTGCCTTTTAGGTTTATATTAAAGGTAATGAGGCCACTCTCTATTAGCCACTGAACCCCAGGAGCATGTTCAACTGATGCAGCATTAGGATTAACGTCGAGGCGTTCATCACTTCCTACTCTTTCAGAAAGCTCGACACAAAGAAGGACTTCATTCTCACTTGAAGTGAATTTATGAAGCCGTAAACCATCTCTTTTATACAACTCTTGTATGGTAAAAGTGGTGGACTGTGGCCCTTAAAAGGGAGGGGCATCTCCAAGGGGCCATTCTACTTTTGTCAGATATTCTCACTAAGAATTTGTATAAAGTGCACATCATGTCCAACATTCCTCTCTCTAAAGTCCAACTCCAGAATTTAAGATATCTCTGGCTAATGGCATTATCATCTCTTTAACTGCAAC